GACCATTTCTGGCCGGCAACTTTCAGCGTCATTAAGCCGCTGCGCCACCGCATCCCCCTATGAAAAGCTAGAAGACAAAAAAAATGTATTAAAACAGAATATATATATAAAAAACAAGAGTCTAAAATAATTTAAAAGGAGGGTAAGAGCATTAGATTGGGTGTAGGGGAGGATAACAGTTAGCGTTATTTTGCATTTATTAAAATTTTGAACACCACTTAAAAGCAGTTATAAAATTCAGCTCCTCTTTTTGTTCTCCTAGAAGCTTGACAGTCAAAATTTTGTGATTCTTGTTTTTCTTTTTCCCCAGTTCTTATATGTATTTGATACTGCAAGATGCACATGGCGAATATTTGTGCCGCAGTGACATCTTAGCTCACATTTGGGATAAATCTCGTTTTTAAATTTTAAATCTAGTTTTTTAAAAAAGGTAAGATAGATGAGTCCAACTTTTCTAAACAGGCAATTATAATTTAGGGAGCAAACATTTCAAAGGAGGCCTCGCCAGAGAAGGTTGCTTCACAGCATATACATCTGGATGAAATAATGTGAAGGAAGGTAAACAGGGAAACCTCCTAAAAAGAAATCAGCCTTGGAGCTGAATTTATCTTAATCTTGTTATCTTATACTTGAAACATGAAGAAATTCTAGACCTTGTAGAATCTGGCTTGAAGTAGGACTTCAGTTTAAAATTGTTGACCGAGAAAACTTCCTAGGAATATTTATCAACCAACAAATTGGGAGGCAACCTAAAACCCAAATCCAAAACGTGGCAAAATTACTGTTGTGACCTAATGGCACCAAGCCTAATTTCAATAGAAGAAAACTTGTCAACTCAAAAAACAAGACTTGGAGGAAACTGCAAGTAAGCCAAGCCCTGCTTTAGAAACTCCAGGTAACCGTATCAAAAGCTTTCTCAGCATCCAAAGAAATAAAGGCTGTGGGATTCTATCTATTTTGAATTAAAGCAATTGTATCGATTAAGAATCTAAGAATCTAAGGTTAGAACCTTGGTAGGCTTGTATGAAGGTGGTCTGAGCTGGCTGCACAGTTGCTGGAAACACAAGCTCTATTTTAAGGAGCGGAATAGCTATTGAAATCTAAGGCTATGAATATCACTCTAATAATCATACGCAGTTGGAAAACTTGAGAGACAGTGAACTGGAAAACTACCAAGGATAGAAGCTTTCTCAAATATATAAATGTAATTGTAGTCTAGCTTAAATTAATTCCAGCAAAAAGTATGAAAAGATTCTGTCATTAAATACTGAAGAAACCAAATTGAAATTTGACATTT